CCTACCTAGGCAGGGGGTTGGACTAGAAGACCTCCAAGGTCCCCTCCAACTTTGCTATTGTATTATATTCTATATCTAGCCTGCAGGGTGCTTAAATCTGACCCACAGGGCTGGTCTGGAAATAGCAAAGTACCAGCCTGCAGTGTTTCTGGCAGCCAAAATGGCAGAGTGTTGTCATTTAGGCCAGCAAAGAGTTGCACGAAGCCATCCAGGCCAAAAACAGGATGTGAGCCCCTCCACTCTCCACTTTAGCCGGCAGTGTGCTACAGAAGGAGTCCACCCCCCCCCCCACTATCCCCCAGGCTGGCCCGCCTACAATGGTGATTCGGCCCTTGAAAAGAATCCAGTTTGACATCCCTGCTCTTGAGCAACCTCAGTTGCCTCAGAGCTAAACCCACCATCTTAGTTGCAACTGCAAGGGTTGTGGTGACCACAAATTTGAAGCAAATTTGACAGAGGGAAGGCTTTTCAAATTTCATCCTAGTTTTTCAGGAGCATCAGAGTGTTCCTCTATGTGAAATTTATTTTAGGACCTATTTATTTTCCTCGTTGATTTTCAGCAACTAGACCTAGAAGGAAAGAAAAAAAACCAGTTTGGTATCATGGTTAAGGCACATGAAAATGGGAAACTGTGATCTCCAGTCCGGTCTTAGGGGCAAAGCCAGCAGGGTGTCCTTGGGCCTGTCATTCTCTTAGCCCTTGGAAGAAGAAAACAAAGGGAAACTACTTCTGAGGAACTTTGACAGGAGAGAAACTGCAAGATCTTGTCCGGTCGCAATGAGTCAACAGTGACTCACACAAAAAAGTGTGGAAGGAACTCAGAAAATAAGTTTAGGGAAGACATACAGCTTGATCTTAAGGGGCCCATTCCTTCTTTTGAATATTATTGTGCAAAACATTTTTTTTTAAATTTGCCTCTTCAAAATCTTGGTGCGTCTTATACTCTGGTGCATCTTATACTCCGAAAAATACAGTATATTGAATTTTTATTAGCTGAAGGGCAGAAATGGAGAGAGAACCAGTTTAGTATACAATACAGGTAGTCCTCGGCCTACGCCCACAATTGAACCCAACATTTCTGTTGTTAAGTGAGACATTTGTTAAGTGAGTTTTGCCCCATTTTATGACTTTTCTTGGCACAGTTCCTAAGTGGATCCCTTCAGTTGATAAGTCAGTCGCCTTGGCTATTAAGTGAATCTGGCTTCCCCATTGATTTTGCTGGTCAGAAGGCCGGAAAAAGGGGATCAATGACCCAGGGACACTGCAACCGTCATAAATATGAACCAGTTGCTATGTGTCCAAATTTTGATCACATGATCAAGGGGATGCTGCAAAGGTTGAAAAACGGTCATAAGTCACATTTTTCAGTGCTGTAATTTTGAATGGTCACTAAATGAACTTTTGTCAGTCAAAGACTACCTGTAAGTCTTAATGGGCCTAGACTAGGAATGGGGAATATCTAGTCCCACTTTGGGCCAGATCCTTNGGATTGTTGGGGGCAATATGCTGACTCTGTAAACCGCTTAGAGAGGGCTGAAAGCCCTATGAAGCAGTATATAAGTCTAACTGCTATTGCTATTACTATAACAGTCCTAAGCCTTTCTTTTCAGTGCCTTTGTGAGTTTGAACAGTCACTAAACAAGTGGTTATAAGTCCAGGACTACCCATATGTTTGGGGAATACAGGTAATCCTCGACTTATGACCACAGTTGAGCCCAAAATTTATGTTGCCAAGTGAGAAATGTGTTGGAGTTTTGCCCCACATTACAACTTTTCTCACCACAGTTGTTAAGTGAATCGCTGCAGTGGTGAAGTTAGTCACGCGGTTGTAAAGTGAATCTGCTCTTCCCCGTCAACTTTGCTTGTCAGAAGGTCGCAAAAGGGGATCACATGACCCCGGGACATTGCAACCGTCATAAATATGAGTCAGTCAAGCATCCAAATGTAAATCACATGAGTTCGGGGATGCTGCAACGGTCATAAGTGTGAAAAACAGTCCTAAGTCACTTTTTCCAGTGCCGTTATAACTTTGAACGGTTACTAAATGGACTGTTGTAAGTCAAGGACTACCTATAGTGGGAAGGGAGGGCAAGCCTTCTTTTTCCAGACTCCATGAGGTGATTTGTTCTTCCATGTTTCCAACCAGAACGCCGCCATCAGCGTTGGACTGTCGTGCAGTGCCTGAACTGTGGCCTAAGCAAGCGTTTCCTCAGTAAGCCTGACTACAAGTTGTGGTCAGAGCAGCCTGAGGCGTTGTTGGAGAACCAGACGCCAGCCGCTGCAGGCACCAAAGGTAAACCAATGCAGAGAAAGCTCTGAAAGAGAAGAGCAGCTGGGGATGGAGGAAAACAGTCGTGATTGCTTTGGGCCTGAAGGTCCCTCCTGAACAGGGCTGTCAAACTCGAGGCCCACAGGTCATATCTAATGGAATAGCCATCACTCCAGAAGATAGGCTTAAGATGGCTGTGTATGGCAGGGCAAGGATACTGTAAAATCTCCATTTCTACCCCACTCCAGGGCAAGGATACTGTAAAATCCCCATTCCCTCCGCACCCCACTAACTTGCTTTCCAGCTCCGTTCTACTGTGCAGGGCAACAGAAGACCCAGCACTATCTAAATTCAATGGTGAAAAGAGTAAGGTTCTACATTTAGGCAAGAAAAACAAAATGCACAGGTACAGTATAGGTGGTACTTTGTTCAATAGTAGTAACTGTGAGAGGGATCTTGTAGTCCTAGTGGACAACCATTTAAATATGAGCCAGCAGTGTGCAGCAGCTGCCAAAAAAACCAACACAGTTCTAGGCTGCATAAACAGAGGGATAGAATTAAGATCACGTGAAATCTTAATACCACTTTATAATGCCTTGGTAAGGCCACACTTGGAATACTGCATTCAGTTTTGGTTGCCACGATGTAGAAAAGATGTGGAGAATCTAAAGAGTGCAGAGAAAAGCAACAAAGATGATTAGGGGACTGGGGACTAAAATAAATTTCACATAGAGGAACACTCTGATGCTCCTGAAAAACTAGGATG